TTTTGTGAAAGATGACAGCAAAATAAAGGATATACTCCCAGCTGAGCTGTTCTTGAGAGAAAAGCTGCAGTATAAACACAACCTTTATTCAGTGTCATATAATCCACACAGAAAAGAAATCATGAACACTTCAGATAAAGGGAGAGCTTTAAATTGGACTCCTCTTAGGCACGGGCATAAGGATCAAATCCATGGAAACCAGGATTCATTAGCTGAGCACTCACAAAATTACCTTTCTTTTTTTTTCTCCTGGTTTTCTCATCATGTCCTTGGGCTTCATTTTGCGTGGGCTTATTCTTTGATTGTACGTTGGTTTTGTTTGTATTTGTTCTTTTTTGTTTTCTTTTTAGTTTTCCTACTCTAGCACTGTTTAAAGGGTATTTTGCGGTTTTCAGCATGAAGCTTAGTATTCCTCTAAGTAAGTGGAAATTTTTATAAAATGCATTGTTATCATGCACCTTTTAAGCTAAAATGAGCCATTCCCCCCATTAATTAATTTACACATATATGGCATATATACAGTATATGTACATGGATCCTAGGGTCTCACTATATGCAATGCTGTGATCCCACATTTCTGGGTCAAAAGAATGGAATATTAAATGAAGAATTAGTAAGAACTGAACAGTCCTTAATCAATACATCTTAGCTTTCTTTCAAAAATCAGATTTCCTGGGGGAACGGGGGAGGCAAAATTGTTGGTTTTTTTGGTGTTTTTTTTTTTTTGTTTGTTTGTTTTCTTTTGGTTTTGTTTTTTTTATGGTTGAAAATCACATTTTACACTTAGGAAATATGATTTTGAGAAACACTATGATTTCTTAATTTAAGAATGCAAAGAAAAATGTACTTCAATATTTCAAAGAAAAAAAATGTTAAAATATTGCTTCGAACTAATTTTGAAATTAAGTGCCATTTCTAAAATTACTTTAGTAACTAAATGTATAATGACATAAAATGCTCTCTGGGGAGAGATTTCAAAATTTCATATTTTGAGACTAGGAATAAAAAGTCCTTGGAAAATTTATACATTTCATGCAATGGAAACTCATTTTGAATTACTACAACTTTTTGAATTAATTTTTTTAATAATTCAAATAGTGCTAGAAAATCACCCAATTTTTTGAAGGAAATCACCTAATTATGAAACAGAAATGAGTTTTCAAATGATCTTGTAATTTACTTCCTTTACCTGCAGTAGGATCGCTAAAGGTATATTGCCCCTGAAAGTAATTTTTTATTATGTTTTTCACAAACTTGTAAAGAGAAGAATTTAAATTGTTAAAATATTCAAAGTCATATATTAAAGGATAAGCTAGCAGCAACAGAGAAATAGTTTATGTCTAAGAATATATAAAGATAAAACTGGGAGGATACAATTCAGTCCTGGAAAGTTAATTTATCTGGGTTTTAAAGGGACTATATAGAGGAATAATTCTCAGAGAATGTAGAAAAAGAGTCCTCCTAAAATATGACATAGGTAGTTAACTAAATGAAAAAAAAATTCTTCCATGGAGAAAGATCACATTATTTCTCCAGCCCAAATCTCTTTATCCCATGGATGTAGCTGTATTAAGGGAGCTAATTACTCATTCAGGAATATTACCTGGGATTTACCTGTCTGCCATGACTTTTCAAACATCATGGAGAGTGGTTTGACAACTACATCAGTCAATTCCTTCAGGACTTTAGGCTGGATCTCATGGAGTCCCATAGACTTAAGCATGTTTATTTTCCTCAAGTGGTGATGAACCTGATGTTCTCTTTCTTACACAGGAGGAACTTTGCTCCCCTAGTCTCCATCTTGCACATATACATCAAAAGCATTAATTTATTGCACTTACATCCATATTGGACAGCCTGTAAGAGAAGTTTAGGGAAGGTACCTTTAATTTATGTACTGACTTAAATAAAACAATTTAAAAATCAGAGAGTTGAGTTTTTCTGTTGCTAGAAAAATCTAAATTAAATTCTTTTCAGATTTCACAAGAACTTGGTAAGAACCACATACATTTCTGACTAGCTTATATAATATTTTTTTTCTAGTTTGAAAAAAATACCTAGTTTTGCCTAGTGCTATCTTCATAGGAATCAGTGATAGTTAAAAAAGGGCAGCCAAACTGCCCAAAAGATTTTAACGAATGATCACCCCTTGCATTGGCTAGTCTGCCTTGTACTTTTTAGCACACACAATCCTAAGCAATTTTCAGTATAGAATATCATAGAAGTTTGCAGCACACAGAATGCAGCAAACTCTCAGCAAGCCTAACCCACTTGTTGCCTCAGGTAGTTCTCAAAAAGATGTTGATCGACCGCATTATAGTCTTAAATTCTTTTGTAAATATGAGGAATTTAAACATAGTTATGATTATGATTAGAATTAGACAAGTAATTTGTTTAAAACAATGGCTAAGACTATAGATTATCCTTTACATACATATCTTACATTTGGATTGCCAGCCAAAATCAGATCATTAAACTTTGTTTTATTTATCAACCTTTTCTTTTTTCTAATTAAATTTTCTTTACTATCTTTATTAGAATTCATTAGGTCAGTTTGTGAATTTTCTGCTAGTCACATAATACTGATTCATGTGCTTAGTGAATGGATGGTCTCTTAAATTACCTTTTTTTCCCTTTCAAAAATAATTTCACTTTATTATTTAACTACTTCTCCTAAGACATCCAAAAAAGGAAACCTTAATGCTCATATGAAACACATTTAAATCAAACTACTGCTCAGGAATAAAAAGACCATTAAGCAGTAGAGTCAAATTCCATGTCCTGATTTGATAAGCTGTGTCTGGATCAAGACAGTATAATATTTTACAATGTCTTAATTATAATTTCAATTGAAAAATAACTTGAAATCAAGTGTAAAATCACCAGTATTATGTTATGCTATGAAATTTGGATGATAAATGGTTCTGAGACATAGAAGATGTTAAGATTTATTGTTGACTTAATCCCAGTACAGCACCTTAACTGTGAACTAAGCCCTCTTCTCTACAGGCAAACTTGTCCTATTAAGGCTCTGCCTGCTTGTCTGGTTTTAGTCCTACATTTCCAAACACAGCCTTGTATAGTAACTATCTAAGAGATGAGAAGGCTGTTGAGATTGTTTCTACTGTATTACTTCCACTCAATCAATGTAGGTTTTCTGATGTGAAGTAGCTTTCAGAATTACCTACTGTTCCTATGAATATGGGGCAATGACAGAGTTTAAAGCTTACAAAACTGTTTTGATGATTAATATAAACATAATTTATCTCAAAGTCACAGTGCTTTCTCAGCCTATTGTTGTATTGAGGAACTTAAGCAGCTAAGACATTCAGAGTGGCTTATAATACTTTATACATTACTTTTGTCAACTTTATTATAGTATGTGCTGTAAATCCTTTGGCATAGCCATGGTCTACTAGGCCCATAATCTCATTTCTGAAATGCCTCTAAATATGTATTTACATGAGAGCATAATAGTTCCAAAGAAGCAATTATGGCCAAGGAAGTTAATAACCCATGTTAAAAAGTCCAGAAAATTTTACATTCTTCTCAGTTGATTCAGATGTTATGTTTCCATAAAGTAACTAATTTTATTCTCAATTAACCATTCTTTTAAACTAACCTCTCATTGAATTAATACAACAGCATGTTAAATTCAAAGGGTGTCATCCCAGCTGCTGCTGAAGGTGATGAAAAAATCCCAACTAAATTTTATTAAAACTGAACACAATGTGAACAACATAAAGTTCTGGGGGAAAATATACATATATAAACCAAAGAAAGGAGTGTCATACTGTAAAGCAACAATTGAAAAATGCTGTTTTAGCAGGAATCATAGAATTTTTTGGATTGGAAGGTACCTAAGGATAATCTAGTTCCCCCCCCCCCACCCCCTCCTGTAGAGTTGTGTTATTTTACGTTCTATTTAAGTTATTGCGTTTATTCGATGTACGCGGTTTGTTCTATGTTCAGTTGGTTTGTTCCATGTACCCCCGAATTTTAAGATTGGTTCCTTCCCCAGTTTCCCGCTTCTCCTCCCCTGTCAATCCTCCCCAAAAGTGCAAAGTCATTCCCCTGTCCCCTCCCAGGGTCCCTGTCTGTCACCCGGTGCCCCTGCCCCTCCATCTAGAACCTTCTACCCAGGGCATCGTGTGATTGGGTCAGGTCCTGGGGCCCCTCCCACATCCCCTTCCTATTGGCCCTTCTCCGAGAGTGAGCCACGCCCCGACGATTCCCATTGGTTCCAGTTTTCCCCACCCTTGCAGTATAAAATCCCCTGTCACCAGGTTACAAGTGCCTTCTCTGGCAGGCACCAGTGCTGTTACTTGGTTCCTCATTTGGTGTTGTCCCCATTGGGACGCAATAAAGAGGATTTTGGCCCCCAGAGGAGGACTCTCTTCTTTCTCAACACCGCGGGGATTTCGGCTGCTTCTCTATAAACCCACACAGCACTCTCCAAAGCCCACAGGGGTCCAGCGGAGGGTGCTGGAGACCTGCCGGCTCTCTCCCTCATGGAGAGCTAGCTGGGGGCGAGAAGACAGGCTGAGGGGGAGAACGCGGCACCCTCCACCATGGATAGGGACACCTTTCAGAAGAAGAGGTTGCCCAAAGCCCCATCCAACCTGGTCTTGAGCACTTCCAGAGACTGGCATCCACAGCTTCTCTGGGCAACCTGTTCCACTGTCTCATTACTCTCACAGCAAATAATTTCTTTTTTATTATCTAATCTAATCCTACCCTCTTTCAGTCTGAATCCATTCTTCCTTGTCCTGTCACTTCATGTTCTTGCAAATCTTCTTTTAAGATTGTAAAATGGCAGTAGCTAAATATTCAAAATTAAAATCACTATCTACATTTCAGATACATCAGTGATAACCTACATAAATTTATTAGACTATCAACTTTAAAATTATTTGTATAATACAAATTATTAACCTTTATCAAAAATTTTAAAGCATGAAATAAACAGCTTTTGTTCAACATTTATTTATGTTTTTCCAGTTCTGTTTTTGTCTGTTATTTGCCCATAAGGACAATTAAACAGAGATCTTTCATGGAGTTTTTCTTTATATTTTGAAAAGAAAAAAATCTTATGCCTTTGTGTCTGTCTCTTCACACTTAAAAAACATGTGGAATAGAAATCAAAATCTGCCGTAGTTATAACCAACATAGAAAAAGAAGATTTCTTTGTATGATTCAGAGTGAAGCAGGCCCATTTTCAGATGAACAAACTTTTGCGTGGAATAACCATTTATCTGCATAATTCAGAGCAGTTTATAATTATTTCTGAGCACTTTGTTTCATCTAAAAGAGATTTACATTTTCATCAGCACATGAAGTTGATAATTAGTATCCAGAACTGATGTAGATCTTACTCAGAGCTTTTATACAACATGACATTCTCTTTTCATGGGATCACACCCTGGGAAATGCATTTTATGTACGTTTTCTGATAGATATATCTAGATTTCTGATTGCTTTTAATTTTATTTTTTTTTCCCCACATAAACTATCACTTGTAGCCATTTTCACACTTGGCAGTTTTGCATCCTGTTTTTCCTGAAAGTCTCCATTCAGACTCACCCTGGATTTTTGCCAGAACCAAAACAATTCTCATTCTACTTAAAATGCTTGCCCTCGTATACATACATGTCTGTAATAGGTAATAGATCTGAATTTAACTTTACAGGACGATGAGCTAGGCATGTCTGTCTCCCTGATCCATTAGACACAGGGGAACACAGATCACTGTAGGAGACACACTCCATTGATGCCTTCCCATTTTGCTAATACTCAGCTTTTACTGACATCAGCATCATGTGGTGAAATTGCTTCCAACCTCATTTAAACAGCTGCACGTTTGAACAGCCTTAAATGATGGGTTTTAGTAAATTGGTGAAGCATAAGTTTGCGTATGCATAAATTAACCTGGCCAAAAGCCAGGTTTTAAGAAATCCATTCTTATTTAGCTGCTGAAAATAAATGCCTTCTGTCTAGGGGTAAGGGAAAGAAGGTAGGGGCACTAAGGGAGCTCTTACTTAACGTCCTATTGATTTCAACATCCCAAATGATGCATATCATTGGTGTGCCAAGCCCGTGGATTGAGCAGATCAGCGCTGACCTACTACCTCGGAACTCACAGCCGCTCAGGCTTTACTTTCTCACTGCTCACTGAACTGAAAGAACGCTTTGGAGCTCCTGCCTGATTTTCACAGCCTTCCTATGGCAGTACAATATCCACTGCTGTTTCCCTTTCACTGAAGTGTATCTTTCATATTTCCCCTTTTTCTCACTCACAGTAGTCTACACAGGCTTCATTATAATTTCTTTTTCTTCTCCACAGAAATTACTCTTTTGCAGCATTAATATAAACTGTCCTCCAAAGATTTCTGCAGGCTGCTTATATAAATCAAAACATATGAAATCTGAAAGAATGAAAGAAAGCACTGAAATCTTACTTACTGGAGAATCTTGAAAACATTCCTCTTCTTCTGCCCCCCTCCTTCTGCTTTTGTTTGTGGATTTTTAAAAATTTATTTAATTTTTTTTTAATATTGAAATCATTCTTCAAATTGAGTTATTTTGGTAAATGAGGCTGAATCAAAGACTGCCTTGTAAACATTAGTTGAAATTGTGATTTAGTTTCTTTACTCCCAAACTTTCAGTGGTTTTAACATATATTTATTAAAATTAGCATCTTAAATACCTTTTTTCCCCTTTTTCCTGGAAATGCTAGATGCTCCATCTAGTGGACTAATTGAACACGATTGAAACTTATCCCAGGTGGCATCCTTTAAAGTGTCAAGAAAAAAAATAACCTTATTGCAACAAATAAGAAAAAGAGGAGGAAAAAAAAAAGAGAAAGGCAGATTAAAATTTGTGCACAACGTGTAGATGTTTGAGCAATAATTACAAGCATTTTCATGCATCCTAAGAATTTATTCTCTTCACAAGCAATACCTCATTGAGATAGCCCATTGTTGCCATGGCAATATATCATAAATTTCTGTCAACTACCTAAAATAGCTGCAGATCACAAGGTATTCAGGTTTGGGTTTGTTTAGTTATTTTAAGCTCTTTATAGCCTTTTAAATTTCATTAGAAATAAATTATCTTTGCTTTATAATTTGTAGGCACCTTTGTTGAAATTTCATGAATAAACCAACATTTATTATATTTTTTCACTGTGAAATGTTTTACATTTTGTATAAAAAACTTGTGTTAAAATACCTTAAAATATATATAGATTTCTTCCTTGACTAGTATATATTTATTTCCTCTAGTTTATACTCCCAACATTGATAAGGCTGGAAGAATGTGCTGTGTTGTTGTGACTTCTCTACGGATCTTAGTCATCACTCCTGTCATTATTTATAATAAGAATTTCAGTGTGGTCAAACACTTATTGTGCCAGTGAAGAAAAATAAAATATTAAGTTTAAAAACGCTTAAGAGCAGGCCATCATTAAATCCATAATGAGTAATACGGGTACAGGAAAGGATAATTAGGAATAAGTGTGAATTCACCTACAATGTCACCTACTCACCAAGGTGCTCTACTTGTCAGGGTGATTGAAAGCTGCCATCCATGACAGAAACCTTAAACAGATTGAAATGATATCATAATATTAGGGATTGCAGAATTTGTATCACTAAAAAGGCAGCAGCATATTATATTTCTTTGGGGAAGCATTAAAATTTTATAGAAACATCCCCAAAACCAATTTAAGCTTTAAAATATTTGAATTTGTGGGGGTGGGGATTTCATGCTGAAAAGCAGCTTTTTTCTTTCTTTTTTCCTTTGTTTTATTTCCCCTCCTCCTCAGCTTAACCTTTCTGTCTATGCATATATTTGCATTTTGTGTAACAAATCCAAGAAATCAAAGTCACTTATTTACTCTGCACGTTGGCATATGATTACAAACAGCAAGACTGTGCCTTTGTCTTTTACATTCTGCTTTGATAGATGCGTATTAAAACCAGGCAGTGCAACCACCACTTATCAGAAACTTGTGCTGTGTTTCTGTGATGTAATTTAGTCTGAAATACTTAATATCATTAACATTCTACTCAAGCCTCACATACATAATGCTGCAGACTCTATAGCTACCAAAGCCAAAGACATAAACAGGCTTTAGTGTCCTGAGGAAAAAAAAAAGCAACCTCACATTTGGTAGTTGACGACCCTATTCATTGATATAGTCAGCCTTGTTTGCTGAGTGTGAGAGGAGATTTGCAGAATAGAAAAGACTATATTCAACATTCATGAGCTGGGGCATTTATTATAAATTACTTATAAAATACATATTTTGCCTATAAATGAGCCAACTGAAGGTAATTTTAATACATACATAGCTCAATTTCTAAGAAAACTATTATAATTACGGCAACAGGTCTCAACATTCATTGCTGCTAAAAAATAAAATAAAATAAACCCAGAAAATTTAGAATAAAGTCCTTCACATTCCTTTTGTCCCTTTTTTTCTCCCCACAGTTTTAAAAATGTCTGGAAGAAAAATCCAGAACTTTCACTATGTACACAAGATGAAAAGGCATCTTAAGTTCAATTATTTTCATGCTTGCAAAACACTTAAGCAATAAATAGTAGGAGGAGATTCACAGAATGTGACAGTAGCTAAAATTCTTGGTGTGTGAATATATATATATACACACAAATACACTTCCCTACATGGATACAACTGAAACACCCTAAAACTGTATTTGAGGAGAAAAAAAAAAAAAAAAAAAAATCAGTCCAATTGTATCAAACTAGGCTACCCTCTAAAATATAGATCACAGAGCATACTTCCTGGAAGGTGAAAGCTGGTATAAAATTACTATGTTGTGACTTGTAAGTCATAGTATTATTAAAAAATATATACAATGAATATAAGAAAACCAAGCTTCTTGCTTGAAATACAAGCTGCTTTTCAGACCATCAGTGGAAAGGATATAAAAAAGCAAAAACTATATTAAAAAATTTATTTATCCAATTATGATATTCTAATTTATAATCTCCATTCCATACAGAAAATTATACCTAGGTTCTTCCATTTGGTTAATGCTTAAATCTCTCCTTTTCACGCTTTTACATTGAAAACAATGTATTATCAATTTCACATGCAAATCAAGACTTCTCTGATGTCACAAACCCTGAAACTTTTCCCCTTTGCTTGGCTGTCCAGTATTGTGAATGCTGGAATGGAAATAAAACATACTGCTGGTAAAAAAATTAAGTAATATAATTAATAAATGTAGCATTTTTGCAGAAAAAAACAATTTTGCTCAAGCAATGAAAATGTATTAAAATATTGAAAAACAATTTCAAATAAGAAAATATTTACCAGATGAAATTGTTTTTTAGCAGCTTTCATTATTTTTATGTTAGGTATTTAATTTTATACCTTCTTGTAAGCTAACCATTCTATTTTCAGGTGTACAGAACTGAAATCCAACCCAGGGCAGTTTCTAATCATAACTAGTAGTTCTCCACAGAAGGAAGAAACAGCAGAAATATTCTTTTAGAAAAAGTTATCACAGGTACTACCCCAACTCAGTGGTTAAGTATCTTTCATGAAAGTTCTTCCACAGGTTACTAGTATTTTTTTTTTTCTATCAGAATAAGTTACAGTTATTTTTATGTAATTGTTTTATTATCATTTAGTTTAGTTTAGTTTTCTAAAGTGCTTTTTGTTGTCATAATACATGCCAATGCTATGGTACTCTCCTTTCCAAAATCAAAAAAATATAATTTATCTTATTGGAAAGTTTCATGCTCATGCCTTCTGTCACAGAAGATCTTGACAATCCTTTCTCATCTGCTTAGAAATCCAACTTCATTTTGTTGAGATTGACACTATAGAAAGGCGACTCCAACAGAAGACTGTTAATCCCAAAGACAACTTGACTATGGAGTCGAGAGAGAAAGCAATTCTCACAATAAACGTAACAGGAATTTTAGGTACCTGATTTCTTCAGTTTCGAACCTAAAGTTACTTATAAGCAGGACTTTGTGAATTCACCTTAATTCCATCCTTGGGTACCCTTGGACCTCTGGATTTATGACAAGAAATGAATTCTCTTGAGGTGTTTGATTGATTTACTATAACTAGTGCACTGGCTTCCTGGTGCATAGAAAACTGAATTGTGATGTGGCATCTGAACAGTCTTACAACTTAACATATAATGTCATTGGTTTCAGTTTACCTTATCCAGAGTTTGCAAAGCTTTGGTTTCCACCTATCAATCCAAACCTTTAGTCTGGCAGAATATCAGTTTCACTGACTAAAATGTCACCCAAAATCTGTGTGTGAAATACTAAAGCAGTATCACTATGCATGAATGAAAAACAGCCTTTTGAGCCCCCCCTCCCCCATGTCACTGGAGCCATAACTTATTTCACACAGTGTCTAGTCCTGTCCTAACTACCCTTAAAAAACCTACAACAAACCAGAAAATAATAAAAAAAAATCCAAACTCACCAAAACCACAAAAAATGTAATAGAAAGAAAGGCTATTATTTAAAGTTTGAAATACCTTATATTAATTTTTAAGTAAAGTCAGTAATAGTCTTAAAATTACATTATTATTGATTAGCTAAAATGAATGGCAGATATCAATGAAATTCATATTAGGAAAATTCCAGTTTGGCTGACTTTCCATCTTTAAAATGCATCTCAGAACCACTTGTAAGAATGCAGCAATAAGGGACAAGACAAATCAATCAATTAATGCAATATTTTAAAGAAAGTAAAAAAAATTGAACTAATAATACCAAATATTATCTGGGTGAGCAATACAATCCAGAAAAAGTATTTCTATAATCCTCCATCAGAATTTCTACAAAAAATCAGAGCAGAGGTTTATTGAACTCACTATTACCTGTTAGGAAATATTACCTGTTAACCAATAGTATTCTGTCATGTACTCTAACTTTATTTTGACCAAACAAGAAGCTCATTCACCTAGTTCCAGGACTACAGTTTTTCCTTTTAGGGTATGTGAGTTATCATAACAGAATGACAATATATCTTTTGGCAGATATGAATTATTTCTTTAAAAGAGATTTTATTTAATTCAGTAAAAGATTTCTACTCCTTTTAGAGACAAATCTTTTAAAAGTGATTTTCCTTAATATTTCAGCAGGCTAATAACAATAACCCTGACCCTATTGTTCATCTCTCCTTCTTCAGAAGACAAAATTATTTTGTAGGGAGGTTTGAATATTATTTTCTTAAGAAAAAAGCCACATCTATTGAATAAATTACCTATCTGATAAATATTTTATCTCTTACTTGTGGATACTAATTTTGGGCATAATTTAATCATCCAATATATATAATAGTTATATAAATATATATATTATAGTTATCTAATATATATAAAAGGTCGAAAAATAACTTCATTGAAATCACTATTCAATGAACTTGGAGTTTTTCCCATCATTCCTGAACATGCTATCAGTCACCACAATTCTACAATCGGATTTCTTTTTTTGCTCAATGTGTCAGAAGATATTTTGCCAGCCTTCTCAAGAGGCTCCTGTTTATGATAATCTTGATTTATGAAAGGAAACTTTCTTTTTTTTTAGGTTACATCTTTGTCAATTACTGTGTGACATGGGTGTAAAAGCAAGCAAAAATATGACATTCTCTCAATAAATTCTAGAAGAATATTTATTCAAAATTTTGGTTTGGTTTTATTCTTAGATTTTTTTTTTTTTCACTTTAGTATATTTCTACCCTAATTAGCCTATTTTATAAACAGGAAAACTTGCATGATCACAATATTTACTGTATGTATATGAATGTGTTCCAATCTCTCCTAAATGTCTCTACCTGTAGTAGTAACCATAAGAAGAGAAACTGTGTATTTTTTAGTCTCACATACCCAAACACTTGGCACTGCATGAATCATTAAAACTAATGGAGTCCTGAAACATTGCCAGATTTTTTCTTCCATTGTTTAGGGTTTGTTTTTGCTCACAGTGATTTCAACTGGACTTTTGCCATTAATTTCAAAGTAGGAATAGATCCTTAGAATGATATAACTTTTCCTAAAGTATCCATAGGAGATCACTTTGATAATTGAACCACATCATAATTTTATCTTTGCATTGTCCATTTCTTCAAGTTTAATTATTGAGCCAAATTCTTGAATTCAGTGTTTGTGTTAGTGTTGGGTATTTTTTTGTTGTTTTTTTTCTCTCTCAAATTCATGTCTAATTGATTTAAATAATGAATTCAATGAATACCACTGGCACATTAAGCACTTAGTTTGTTCTACCTCACTATCTATGTATCTGTGTAATATAGGTACAATATATGTATCTGTGTATCTGTGTAACATAGGTACAATACCTTAGCTCTCACCGTGAACATTTATACAACTGAGAAAATTGCACAGTTTGGTGTATGAACCATGGCTAAAAGTTTCCAGTTATGCTAAACAGTGATCTAACGTGGTTCCTGATCATTTTATCACATAGTCACATTCATGGTTTCTAGGCATGTCAATCAAGCAACATTTTTAGACCTCTAAGCAAAATAATGTAAACTTTGCTTAATGTTGTATCTGTGTTAAAAAGACTCAGTAATTTG